TATCTTGCTATTCTTCAAGTGAGAGATTATTATATTCACTTATTCTGATTTCTTACACTCTCTCAGTACATTTAATATGAACTTTTCTTATATCTGATTCACAGAATTCTCACTCATGAAATCAGGTCTATAACTGATTGTATCAGATATCACAGTGTCTGATCTCTTTCAGTATTTGATATGAAGATTGTATGCTTGAAACTCTGAGATTCAACATGCTAAGCATTTGAAAGGTTTTATTATTAATTATAGATAGATGAGACTTTCATGATTCATAATCACTGTTATTGTATGTCTGTTATTAATATATCTATCTCACAATATCAGCATGTGCTTGATCACTAGTAATTTCTTTTCATATACTGAGTAATTGAGCTCAGTGTCTGATAGTTTTCTATCATTATACATTATCAGATGCAGCTTGCTGTTCTTACTCATCTATAGAAGAGCATCTTCAATAGCTCATTCAGATGTGTCTGTTTCAATATAGAAAGATTTATCATGATCTGATTGAATAAGCACTGAGAATATTATTATACATTTTCTCAGTGTGAGAAAAGCCTTTTCACATGTGATATTTCAGATGATTGAATGAAACTTCTTCTTTCACAGATTTGTATTCATTTCTCTTAAGAGATCTGAGAGTGATGTAGATATTTATATGAAATTCTTAATGAATCTGCAGTAATATAAGATTAATTTAAGAAACTGTTATATATGATGTGTATTTCTCAGCTACAGTTAATTCACTATGATATTCAATTTCTCTGAGATGAGATATATACAGTCATCACTCACTACATATTCTATAAACTTTAACTCTTTTATTTCAAATACATACTTTATTAATTTGATATAGAGCTTATACTCTGTCAGAGTTATAAGCATTTTATTAAGATACTTCAGATATTCATTATATGAGTTTGAGAAGATCAGAATATCATTGAAATATATAAGACATGAGGTTTCATTTTATTTATAAAGAATCATATTCATTATTATTTGAAAGATTATGACTATATTTATCAGACTGAATAATATTGTCAGGAATTCAAACTTCTCTCATTACATATTAAACACAGTTCACAGAACTGACAGTTTGCTTATGTGAATCTACCAGTATTCTGAGAGAAGATCAATCTTTAATAGATATCAGGTGTTTTCAACTGTATTCAACTGTTATTAAATTTATAACAGTGAATATTCATTCTTGATTATAAGCTTATTGAGTACTCAGTAATTGATACATATTCTTCACTCTTCATTTATCTTTTTCATGAATAGAACTGAAAAGCCTCATATGCTTGATGAGAGTTATATAAGATCATGTTCTAGAAGATCTGTGATCTGATACTTCTATTCTTTGAAATGTATTTGTAACAGAGAGTATGCATTCTGATTAACTGGTTTCATATTCTCTATATCAATCTCATGTATGAATTCTTGTTCTGATAGTAATTTCAGTGAAAGATCTGTTCAGAAGACCTTCTTATACTTCTTCAGAAGCTTCTTTATACACTTATTCTTCTGCATATTCTTTATCTTGATTTTCTCTGTTTCTGAGTTCTGTATGATATACAGAATACTTTTAAATAAGGTCTTACAAATCATTCTCTTTGCTTGTTAATATGTAAGCAGATTTAACTCTTCTATATCAGAGATGTGAAATGTTCTTCTCATATCAGTTGATAGAATTATATGAACTGTTTTCTTTCTATTAATCAACTATATATGATATGTATACTATTGAATCTGCAGATTGAACCTTTAAAATCAATTGAGTTTGAGAATAAGATCATATTTCACATTCTGCAGCTCTCACATCTAAATGTAGCAAGATTATTCTCTGAAGTGTAAGAGAACTCTTACTCTTGTGAGTGATATCAAGTATCAGTTATCAGATAATCTTATACATTAGAAATTCTTCACTCAGTGAACCTCTTTCAGTCTTCAGATTATATAATTATTAATATATTATATAGAAGCTTCTGTGTTCACTAACACTTTTACAGTTATCTCTCAATTCTTACTCAAGTGTCTCTTATACATTAACATTTCAGGCTTAAAGATATTAAGATGAGTATCTGCTTTATCATTCTCATCTGCATCTCATTTAAAAGCCTGCTTTCTCTTGATATTTGCAGAATTCAGAGAATCATCTAATATAAACATCTCTTTCACTTTGAAGACTTTTTATAGAATATCAGTGAGTGTCTCTGAGCTCACTGATTCTGCTAGTTTTTTAACTCTCTTACTTCTCTTAACTGTGCATGCTGTGTGCAATCTTTTATATCATGATTTTAATATCTGCAGTTGAAGCAAGCTTAATACTTATAATATCAAGATTTTCACTCAGAGAATCTCTTTTTCAGAGAATTCAGTACTTTAATAATGATATTCATATCTAGATTCATTGTATCTGAGTATATAACTTATATTATAGAAGTCTGATTACTCATTCTCTACTGAGATATACTTAATTGCAGTATTTTCTATTGTAATTGACTTACTTATTTTCATATAATAAGAATATTATATGCTTTCTTCACTGTGTCTGACTGTGAGATTAAGCATTTTCATTTCACTCTCAACTCAGATGTAAGATTATGAATGAAGATCTGTAAATAGAAAGATGTTAAAAGCTCTTCATTCAACATGAGATAGTATAAACTGAAGTGTGTGAAGTATAATGTAAGATCACTCACTTATCTATACTCAGTGAAGCATTTATAACACTTATCTTACACATTCACTTTCTCAAAGTTGTACAAGATTCATTTAGAAAACTCATTTCATGTTTATAAGAATGAATATTATTTCAGATCTGTGAGATTCATCTTTTCATCAATCATTCATAATAACTTCACTTTTTCATGTAGAAATGCAGTAGATTTTAAGACTTGTTAAAATTTCATTGACTATCTATCTGTAAGTTTATATTCAATTCAATAATATGATTATATCTGACTTAGTCAGCTGATTGCAACATCATTTTTTCAGTCACTATTAAAGCTTAATAACTCTGACAGATCTTTCAGCTTAATGTATTTTATATTCAGATTTCTATTCTATGCAGTGATCTCTGATGATGTGTATACTTCTAAAAAGATTATGAATAATTGTGATGAAATCTTCAGATTCAGTGTAGTTATCTGTAAATGTTCAATCTCTCACTGCAGGTCTAAGACCTGGTTTTCTCTATTCTTATTAATGATAATGATTGCATTAATGAAGCTCTTTATAGTGAATACTTAATCTGCAGTAAATGCCAATTGTTGTTTGACTTCTATCTCAGTCTGTCACTGTGTACACAAGGTCTTGATTTCATTTAGAATTCTTATATATATATGAAGCTTCAATTTCAGTTCAGTGATTTCAGTTATTTTTCTTACTACTTTGAGTAAACTCTCTGAGAGATTCTGCATATCTTTCAGTTCAGATAGCAGAGAAGAGTATTATTTATATTAACTAGAGAAGATATTTATTTCAGTGATTTCTCATTAATTGTATAATATCTATTATTATATCACTATATTATTATATCACTATATCATTATATTACTATATCATTATATGATTTCTGTTATTATTGTATAACTTCAGTGATAGTTACTCTCTCTTTTATCTCTCTGAGTGAAGAGTGGTCTTCTTTAAATCTAGTTCACTACTCTCATCTCTTTTCTTATATCTCATCTATTCATATATATAACATTCATCTGAGTGTGAAGTTTTTTCTCAACAAGTGAAGCAGTATTAATTAGATACTCTTTCACTCATCACTCTTCATATACTATCTTTTAAAATGTTCTAGAATTACACTGATATGATAACTATAAATTACTTTGTAGATAGAATTATCACATTCTGAAGAAGTCTGCACTTCTCATCAGTTTTTAGACATGCTATCAGATGTGATTCAAAAATTGCTTAAGTCAGTATACAATTACAGATGTACACTGACTTCTTATATACTGTACACTAAATTAATTGATGGCTGCTATGACCTCTTTACATTCGTAAGCAAGTTCAGAAGCAGCCGTGTTATTATTTAACAGTTGTACATTCTTTTAAATCACATCTTATCTCATAACTTAGAATTCTTCTCATAATAAGTAATTCTTCTATTAATAAGTTATTTAGTAGAGTAGATAATTCTGAGTCTTAAGTTAAACTCTGAAGTAACAAATATATCACTTATATTAAGATAATTCTACTTCTTCTAAGTATATAAAAATGAGTGATATTCTTCACAATAGAGAATATGTTTTTGAAAAGTATATAAATCTATTAATTAGCAGATTCAGAGAAAATAAAATATCTTTAATAAAAACTAAAAGTCTTTCTGAAAAAGATAAACTATCTTTGTTAAAAATATTAATACAATATTTTAAAAAGAAAAATATGTTATTCAGACTATAATCTATAGAATAGTTAAAGATTCTATTAATAAATCTATTTATAAAGAGCTTAATATAGTGATGAGTTATGTAATTTGAAGAGATTACTAGCCGCAACAGCTGTAATAGTTAATAGATAAGTTAATAGACTGCTAAGTATTCAGAACTCTTTAAGCTTACTAAGCTTATTTTACATTATTATTAACTGTAATTTTATCATTTTTAAACTGTTTCTCTTTCAGTTCTTTACTTATATTCAGTCATTTTAACTGCTTCAATTATATTACAAATAATTTAATAATTAATTAAAATAAATTATAATATATTTTAATTACTAACTATATATATTATAGTTTTAATATCTTTATATAAGCTGTTTAATATTTAATTATATTTTATTTAAAGCTTCTATATTAACTCTATAATACTGTTACAGTATTATTCATCTTTTTTCTATATAATTATTCTCTATTAATAGTTGTGAATTACATGAAATTTATCTATACAAGTCACATACAGCTGTTTATATTTATGAATATCTTATTATATTCAATCTGAGAGATTAACCAGCATGTTTTTCAAGCTGAATAAGCAAGCTCAAGTGAGCGATTGAGGCTTGTAATATATAATAAAATAATATAAAATATATCTTTCTTTTTCTGTCTGTGAGTTAAAATAGATTGATATAAGCTCTGTTTCATTTGCCTCTCTCTTATTTTTGCCTTTTTGAGAAGGCGGGGTCATCAATCGGAACAATTCATGTGAGGGCTGGATGTGAATAGTCAAGTAACGAGGATATGAATACTGTTTCCAATGTGTTCTTGCACAATCACCCTTGCACAGTTCTGATTCAGTCTTCAGTGCCCGTTTTTCTTTTTGCCCCGCGAAGACCTGGAGCAAAGGAGCAAAACAAGAAGAATGATGTTGTAGAGGAGAAAAAAATAAGAAAAACAGGATAAGGTTTGTTGCATCCCGTTGTTTCCCGCTTATTTATAATATGTAAGATAATTAAAATCAGATTTTTCTTCCAAAGGCAAACATACAGTGAATAAGATAGAAACAGAAAAGCATATCTCAAGTGAAGTAAGAAGGAAAACGAACAAACAGGAAACAAAAAAACAAAAAACTCCCAATAACATCTCGTCTAAACCATGCAACAACAGTTTGGAAATAAAAAATCTTCTTTTAATTTTCTCTTTTCAATTGACTTGAGGGGGTAATCTTGACACAAAAGTAAAAGAAGAAAAAGAAAAGAAACCAAGGTTGCAGGGAACAAATGAGGTGTTACACAGTCATTTAAAAGAGATCACCGCATCCCCAGTATTGCTCGACGCCAAAAGCACCTGGGTCCTTCCAGAGATCGTTGGAGAAGGAGAAGAACACGGACTTGGATCCAACTTTGTCGATGATGGATTTGATGGCGGCGGTTTGAGCCTGCTTGGAAGCGATGGCCTTTCCATTGCTGGAGCCGCCGCTGGGCCAGCCGGTCTCCAAGTTGATGACATCCTTCCCTGGGCAGATCTCTCCGAGGATCTTCATCTGGTTCTGGATGAAGCTACCGCACTCGGAGGCAACGACGTTGGGATTGAAGAAGCAGTGGATGTTGGCGCCAATGACATCGATATATGGGCAGAAACTCTTGCCGGCCTCGAGCCACTTGTTGAGGGGCTCAGTGGTGGTGATTGGGCCATTGTAACCGGCATTCCTGAAGGAGCTCCTGGCGTAGCCGAGGAGGCCAACAAGGGAACCTGCGTTGGCGGTACCTTGATGGAGCGCCTCGTTACCAACGACGATCAAGTCGACCATGCCGAAGTTGCCCCAGTCGACAATGTGCTGGACCTGTTGCTTGGCTTCATCAATGCCCTTGTTGGAGACGAAAACACCGAGGATCATATTGAGACCGTTCAGTTTGCACGCGTTGCCAATGTTCTGGAGGCTGTCGCAGTCAGTGCCGTAGACACGGACGGTTTTGAAGCCCTTGAGCTTGATGAGGGCGATATCGGCAGCGACGGCACCAGCGCCCTTGCACTGTCCATCATTGGTGTAAGGAGAGTAGGTCATGCCCCATTTCTCGCCGCCACCAAGGGTTGGGGGTTTCTGCTCAGCTGGAGGCTTTGGCTCGACGGGAGGCTTTGGCTCGGGAGCTTTGACCGGGGGGGATGGCTTGGAGGTAGGGTAAGCGGGAGGGGCGGGGTGATCACCAGTTGGGGCGGGGCAAACATAAACATAGTTGGTCTCTGTGGCAGTCACGGTCTGGGCGGGCTGAGTGTAGGTGCCAGGCGTGTAGGTGGCCGGGGTGGGATATACAAAGACGGTGCTGGCGGGAACACTAGTGGTTGAAGGAGCGATGGTATAGGTGCCAGGGGTGGGGCAGACATAAGTGGTCTGCTCAATAACACTAGTGACAGTATCGCCGACGGGTTTGGTAACGGCAATGTCGCAGGTGACAGTGGTTGCAGTGGTCACAACGGTGGTAACACCGCCGTAGGTGTGCTCACCAGGAGAAACAGCAGTGCTTTCCGCAGCGCAGACAGTAGTTTCCCTGGTAACGATGATAGTCGTCGCTGGGATAGTATAGGTTCCTGGGGTTGGGAAGACGGTGACTATTGGAGTAGGAAGATCAGGTTCAGGAGTGACGGAGACAGTCGTAGTCGTGGTGCTGGTCGTCTTGATGGTCGTCGTCTTCTCCTCAACCACTGTATGGAAAAAGTTATTGTCAGCGTCAATCCCAGGGCGATTGCGCCCGAACGCGGGCGACAATTAAGATTGCCTCCCCTTTTTTTTCACCATCCCATCACGCTTTCACATTTCTGTTCATCACCAGAGTCCCAATCCACATATATCCCCTTTTCCCCTGACGCAATTGAAAAGAATTGACTATCACTTACGGCTTGGCTCTCCATAGTAAGTGATGACCTTGGTGATGCAACCACAGTTCCCATCATCATCGCCACCGGGGCCATCAGTGGGATAAGGAGATACATCAGTGGTATCTGGGGGAGAAACCACGTAGGAACTGAGGGTGGGAATGGGCGAAGCCTCATAGCCGCCGGTGGTGGTCGGGGCAGGCGAAGCCTCGTAGCTGCTGCTGTCGCTGGGGATGGGGTTGGCCGGATAGGCACGACGCTGGTGGAAGCCGTGGTGCTGTTGATGGCCGACATGGCCCAGGGCCGTGCCAGCGACAGCCGCGGCGGCGGAAAAGAAGAGGGCTCCCTTCATGGTGTCGCAGTCAAAACGGGGATAATGTTGATATCGCGAGACAGGCAGAACAGATAATATGGCTTTTTGCTTTGGGGTGTTGTTATTTGGATGTGGAAGGAGTGAGGATCTTGGCTTCGTGAAGAATGAATGCCCGCTGAAGGAGTGAAGCGGTGGTCAGGGAAAAGACGGGAGTAAGTCGTCGAAGAGAAAGAAATGAACGGTGATGCGGAGGGGGAGGGAGGGTCGCAAAGCCTTAAAGGAGAGACGAAGAGAGAGAAGACAAGAAGAAGAGAAGGGAAGAAGACAAAAGAGAGAGAGAGAGAGAGAGAGAGGAGAAGAAGCAGACGGCGACGATGAAGATGAAGAAAGAAAGCAGAAAGCAGAAAGCAGAAAGGGGTCAACCAAGTGACGCCTGCACAGCGGGAAATGAAATGAAAACGCAGAACTGCCCTTAGCTGGTACCGTCACGCTAGTACGCGGTTACGCTCCATACGGCTGATTGGTATTATTGGCCCTCATTTCCTGCCGCCAATTATGGGCAATAGCGAAAGGGGGGGGGGGGGGGGGGTCTTGCAGGGGAATTATTGGCCGATGGGGGTTCATTTCTAAGGGCGCTGGGGAGGCCAATTTACCATCTTCCATCCAACTAACATCCATCCCTCCCTACTCTACTACATACATACATAATAGTAAAGACTACCGGTACGTAGTATATGAAAAGACCAAAATATGCCATCGACACAAGAGCCAGACATAGGAAACGAAACAAGCACTACAGAAGGAATACCCAGCGCCGTTAATAATACCAAACGAGGAATGTGATAAACGTGGAAACGTGTAAACGTGTAAACGTGTAAACGTGGAAAACAGGTAAACAAGTATGGAGTAAACAACAGGTAAATAAGGGACATGTAAAAGAATTAAGTACGGAGTACAGTACATCACGAATCCATACGCGTACAGTCAGTGTGTCTGTACCTTACCAAGATACAAGATACCACGGGTTCCTGACGACGCCCGCGGCCCGCCAAGCCCTGCCAGGTACCTTTTGCCGCTGATTGGCTGCTGCCACCAGACTTCAGCCGTGGACCCCAGCCATCAGCCAGTCATCAGCCAGTCATCAGCCAGTCATCGCGCCATCCATCCATACCATACCCAAAAATCTCCAAATCTCGACGGAATTACCGCTGTCAATGCCTGTCATTACACTAACCCGTACTAAGAATACACTTCTAATACACATAATACACTCCTCCTCTCTACCTACCCTACTCCGTACCAACAACAGACCAACGCAGAGGAGAGGAAGGGTTCTAACAACGAATGAAAGCGGAGTGCATTCTATGTGGCCCGCTGTGGTACAAAAAATCAAAAAATCAAAAAATCCAAATCAACCGCTTCACTCCTTCCTCGCTGGCTTGTCTCGGTTCCATTCTTTAATAAAGCCCGCAGCGATTCGGGCAACCACTGCTTCGCATCACGATATCATATCGCGCCCCACCCCACCATCTCATTACTGCTGCCACATACTTAGCCCTCAACGCCCAGAACGCCACCGCCCCTCTTGGGCTTTGCCGCCCTGGAAACCCCCCCGGGCAAGGAAGCGAGAGGATTATTACTATTTTATTATTACATACCAATGTAAGTTATGTATGCACTCTATCTGTAATTTCAACAGAAGAAAAATGCCCCAGGAGCTGACTGGCCTGCCTGCCACGATAGTTACTTTCTTCTTTCTGCCGCCAGGAGTCGGTAATTTTATATTCGGAGTAATATAACAGCCCAAGAAAAGCCAAAGGAAATTTCGCTGTCTCACACAGGCGGGATGGGATGCTGCTGCGCTGGCAAAGTTGCGCTGGCCAACTCATTATTGTTGACCTCTTGATGAGGCAAGTTCAAGATCTTGTCGTGCATGAAAAAACTCTTCATCAGCATCAGTAAGAGTCAGGTATACTCCGTACATACACACACATGCATTGTTATTCTGCGTCCATACAGTCTGTATAGAGTACCTCAGTGATGTATTATTATTATTATCATTTCTTGAAGAATGGTTCCACGGTTGGCTTCGCATCGTTAATGCATTCAGCAGGAAAAAAGAAAAAAGAAAAAAAAAAAAAACTCTGAAATGCAAATAATAGAATCTAGATAAGTAGATTCCTGCTCCACTCTCGCCTCCAAGTACTCTGGAAACTCAAAAGATGCTGTCCTCAAAATAAAGAAAGAAAGAAAAGACACAAAAAGAAAGAGAAAAAGAGAAATAAAAAGAAATCGAGCACAAACACCCTCTCTTATTGGCGTACAGCCCAATATTTCCCACTTCTCAAGCTGAAACATCTGCTTCTGCCGCCAATGGCAGACTTGATATGGTAAAAATCAAAAATCAGCTAGGCGCTAGTCATTATCAACTCACTCACTCACATCCGCATTACTACGTATTCATTATTGATAAACCAACTACTATAAACTCCGCACTAGTAGTAGTAGTAGGGCGGTCAAGGGCCCCCAAAAGGCATAAAATTACCGCATTGCCTGGCGTCTTCTTTCGTCCCTTATTACGGAGTGGACAGGCCCTTATTAGAGTCCTAGACCCTTGAAAAGGCAATAGAGAAGAAAAAAGGGACTCAAAAAGGCAAATTGCTGCCCGCTGATCCCTTCGAGACCTTCGAGATCTACCTCAAGGTTTCCACAGAATCGTGGGCCTGAGGCCACAGAGCTGGTGAGCGTCAGGAACAGCTCACTACTCTAACTCCGTATTGGCACCAAGATATACTAGGGACGCAAACCGTTCACAGCATATGTGGCAATCACCTTACCTTAAAAGAGTGTAGAGTCTTTTTTTTTTTTTTTCCTTAAAATAGGCTCGAAAAAAATGCGAGAAGATCGTCTGCAAAAAATAGGTTCTTTGAAGAGGGGTATGTGAGAACAGGAAATAAAAAATAAGAATGAAGAAAAAAGAATGAAGAAAAAAGAGCGCAAAGCCTACAAAAAACAACTCAAGCACAACAAATGACAACAGCACAGAGATGATGGATTCAGCTAAAAGAAAAAGCGACTTCAGCCTCAGACTCAGACTGAAACAGTAGCGCATAAGTAGTGAAATGGCCTAGAACATTTCCCAAGACCGACGACTGTCAGGCAACAGGTGCTGATCAATAATGGACAGATTTTCTCATGATATTATTTGCCCGCTTATTTCTGCCCAAGTGTGTTCTTCTTTGAAGGTTGTTTTGCTCATTATTCCTGTTCTTGAGAAGTTCAAGGTTCAAAGAAGAAAAAATCAAAAAGAAACTTCAATCACTCTGCTCACTCAACCATATCACACACTCACTTTGAAAAACAGAATCACTACTACTGTCCTACCTATCATTGATAATTAGTTACACTCAGGGCAGTCATGTTGTGTCTTTTATTATTCCACGACTCCATTCCCACCCATCTTCTATATCAGGGCTCTACACTACTTCCTGGCGCATGGAGAAACCAACTCCAGCGCTACTTATTTCATTATTATTACATACAGTACACCGTACACCGAGTCTTGTACAGATTACCAGCCTGTACAAGCTGTTACTCCGTACTACGGGTGTTATTAACCCTGCGCTTGTAAGGGAAACAAACGCCGTGCAAACCAATCCGCATCCAAGGATTTAAGCCGCCCAAGAGCCGCCCGAGCGCCCCGAGTTCCCGTTCCCGGACTATATTTTGTTTTCTTTGCTGGGCCGTGTCTTCTGTACTTCGATTATTTCACTACACTAGTTACATAACTACATAACTACGGAGTATTTATTATTTTACTTTTTCATTTTCTCTCGGGACCCGGGAGCTGCTCTGGCGATCTGGGAGTGGTCTATGTACATGTACACATATATGTACTGTACATCCTTGCTTGTGGGCAGGTAAGGTAAGGTAAGGGTATCCCGATGCACCCGCTTGCGCGGTAGTTAAGTTAGTAAGTACGCTGTAGTGTAAGTGCAGTGGATTTTGGCAGCCAAATGCAGAGCTATTAAAGTTAAGTGATCACCGATCACTGATGATGGACAAAGCTACAAAACAAACGAATCGCTAGCCCCGATTACTATGAGATGGAAAAAAAAAACAACCGCCCCATTGAGAACATGAGTGGCTGAGTAGTATTGATATACGCAATCACTCCGAATACTCCCTCCTGGACGCTCTGAACAACTATATAACCTTTACTAAACTATTGCGCGTCCTGCTCAACTCCACTTCGAAAAAAAGAGAGACATTGTCCTCCTTCATCGATCGGGCTATATCCCCCCCCCTCTCTCTTTTCCTTACGGAGTACATGTCTCTCCATTCTCTGCACATGCTTGACATTTCACACAAGGCACGGGCCGAGTTTCCCTAGCTTATTATTACGGAGAGATGTCTGTCTGTCTGTCTTTCTTTCTTCCCCACTACTGGTGTCCAAGCGCCTGTATCACTGTCATCCATGAATTATTAGATCATGGAGGGAGGGGTTGAAACATGCGCTCTCTTTTCTTTTTTTTCCTTTTCTATATATATATATATATATATATATTTCGATTTTGCATACTTTGAGCTGGGGAAAATGAAAGGGTAAGTTGGGCACACTCCGTGCCCGGCTTCCACCCTGTTGTGATGGCGAAAAAATGTGCAAGCCATATCATGAACATGAACATGTACCCTTGCACAGTGCCTACTCAATGTGAATAGACGTATGTCATTTCCACAAGAAATACGCATAAAAATGCTTGAGTATCATCACCCCATGATGATAAACGCATATATCTACAGTACATATATGTTTGTATGTACATGTATGTACATACATATGAACCAGCGTCAGCGAATTTTCCATCAGTGCAACTCTCTGCCGAGGATATTTATTTATAGCATCATCTGCAACATGCATATTATCCTGCATATCTTATCCCCGGGCCCCTTCTTCCCTATCTACCCAACTAACCAGGTATATACATACATAATCTGTATATATATAGAAGGTGGGAAGAGATACGCTTTTTGCGTGTAGAGTATCCCGACTTGCTTACTATATTCCCCCCTGATCAGCCACGGATTACCCAATTTCATCAACGCAAACAATCCTCCCTAGCACAAAATTAATTCCGACGATGGCCCCTGACGGCGTTATGCGGACGGTGTTGTTTGACGCGAATGTTACAGATTACATACTATGCATCGGGGATATTGAACGGGTTGGTTGGCCCAGAAGAGATGGCGGAACATCCAGTTTTATTATTATTCTCTTCGTCGATGGCCTTTCCGCGGGAACGGGGCGGGAACGGGGTTGATCTGATCAATCGCATCCTGGCCTGGGTTCGAGAAGGCATCCATACATGTCGATATCCGGTGGGTGGGACTTGTCGAGTAACTAGTGGAGAAAAGAGAGCGCATGACTTTTTACACAATTTGACGCCCCCCTCCCAGTCCAGGTAAATATACACTTTGTTGGGTATGGCTTTGACAGAAATATGTTGAAATCATTGTGATGATGATCCAATTTCCTGTTCTGTTCATCTCCAGCTTCCCTCCCCCCCCCAAGCAACACGGCGTATGTACGGTACTTCAAAAAAAAAAAAAAAACCACTCCACCACTCCCCCAAGTACGGGCCTCCCGCAGCCACAGGGTCCTGACCTAGGAGGGAGAGGTCAAGTTGGAGGTAGGAAGATCCGGCACATGTGGGTCTGTATCGAGCTGGTTAGCTTGGATATGGTGGTGATGGGGGTGGCTTTTGGCATTTGGGTCCAGGAAGGGTATTAGGATGTATATATATCACTAGACATGGTGGTGGTTAGATGACAAGTGAACTGGAATGTACAGATCCGATATTAATATTTGATGATAACTGTGAAGCGTGAGATTTAGGTTATCTCGATGTCACTGAGAACGGGGAGGGGATATGCAAGTTGGATATATACGCTAATATTTCCGGGATGGGATGACGCCATGTCTATACGACAGCAATTTGAAAAAAACAAAAAAACAGCACACAACCTCAACAACAGCTTAGAAAGACTGTGCTGGAGCTCCCAATCCACCCCTGGTTTAAGCTCTCTTGGAGCTATGATTGTAGAACCGCCTCTATACTACGTACGAAACGATTCTATATGTTGACACATACCTATATACATATACTCTTCGATCCCCTTTATATACATATATATATATATATATTTCCCGTTATATCAAAATCTCAGAATTCAGCATTCAAAATCCAAGAGAAGAGATAACAGACAAAAACCACATCTACTCCCAGGTGGTAATCTTCATGGTACCCTTCTCCTGCAAATTCTGATGCATCTTGAAAGCCTGGAAGAGCAGGTGAGGCTCGTGGCCCATTCCCTTCTTCAGGCACTCGAATTCAGCGCGGTCGAAGTAGTCTTGGAGAATAGGTTTGTAATCGGGGTGCGAGCACTCGGCGATGATTTTGCGAGCGCGCTCACGAGGAGACAAGCCGCGGACGTCAGCGAGACCCTATAGTTTTTAAATTAGTAAAAAGTGGCAAAAGTTGGTCATCGTTACTTGATTTCGTTCACAATTTCCCCCCCGGGGGGGTGGGGGGGGGGGGGGGCGAAAGAAAGTATCACTGTTTTTTTACTTACCTGTTCAGTCACGATGACATCCAAATCATGCTCTGTCTGATCGATGTGGGTACAGAAGGGTACGATACAGCTAATGCCGGTGGGGTCAGTCTTGCTTGGGCGAGCCGATGGCGTGTGCATGATGCTGTATTTCGCGCTGCGGAGGAAATCGGCAGAGCCGCCCAGTCCATTCAACATGCGCGAGCCCATGACACAGGTACTGTTGGCGTGGGCATAGATATCGACTTCGACGGGGGTGTTCATGCCGATCACCCCGAGGCGGCGGATGATTTCAGGTGAGTTGGAAACTTGCTGTGAGCGCAGGAGGAGTTTGTCAAAGTAGTTTTCCCAGTTATCGTAGAAGCGCTTGAAGCCGTCTGGGGAGAATCGGATGGAGGTGGCAGTGGCGAAGTCCAAGTGACCGCTGTCAAAGAGGTCGAGGAAGGAGTCTTGGAGCACCTCAGTCCACACGCGGAGGTTTTTGAAGTTGGCGCCACCCGTGCTGAGGCCTCCGATGACGGCGTTGGCGATGTTTCCAATACCAGACTGGATGGGTAGGAGGCTGTTGGGGAGACGGCCCATGTTCACTTCATGTTGGAGGAATTCGATGATGTGTCTGGCAATAGCTAGTGAATCCGCATCAGCTGGGGCGTTTGGTTGGGTCTGGTCGGGATAATCGGATTCGACAATGGCAACGACCTTCTCCGGGTCGATTGGGATGTATGTGGTTCCAATGCGGTCTTCGGGTGCCATAATCAGATACGGCTTTCGTCGGGGAGGGATATCGCACATAGTGATGTCGTGTAGACCTTCGAACGAAGGACCGGCGGTATTGACCTCAATGATGATTTTATCTGCCATTTGAACTAATTCTGGAGAAGCGCCAATGGAAGCTCCAGGGATGATTCCGCCTTCTTCTGTGATCGCTGATGCCTCAATAACCACAACATCTAGTTTATTATTTGGCTTATCTTTCGTATAGAAGCCCTATATTAAAAAGCGTGTTGATCAGTACCAATAACCAAACCCTTATTCCCCCATATGAAATCAAAGTCAAACGACAGCGGCCTGGGGATATGTTCACATACATATACCAAATCCGAGGGGAACATGCTCAGGTGCTTATCAAAGAAATTGATATTGCCCGTATTGATTCCCTTCGCGATCTCCTTGCCAACCTGGTGAGGCGACCGCTTCTCAATCATATTAAGCTTAGCCCATCGGTTTTCCGTTTCCGCCCCTGACGACGCTCCCACAAAGAGGGTATACTTCAACTTCCCTTGAAGCGAGTTCTTCTCAACATGATCTGCCAGAGCGGTTGGTACTTTCCTGCGCGCGCGCAAATTCACAGTCAGAAAAAAGTAAATAAATCAAGCGCCGTTGGGACAGGTATGATAGCTGGAGATATATCTGGGGACTTTGACTTACTTGGGATATCCAACACCAGTAAAGCCGGACCAGCCGATATAAGAACCATTTGGAAAGAAATTGATCAGATCCTCAGCCTTGGCCAATTTGCTCAGCATGGACGGCCGTCTGACACGGCTTTTCAACAGGGCAGAAGCAGCCATGGTTAGTATAGAGTTATGTATATATGTCTCGTACGTCCCCTTTTTCTGTATTCACTTCGCTCAGCCGGAAAGCCTCCCCACAAGGACCGAATTGGAGGTTAAACGTCAAGACAGATAAAAGCAATGGGCAATTTCTTTTTCTTTTTTTAATTTTTTTTTTTCAAAACTTTAATGAAAAAAAGTTTACTAGGTTCCCAAGTTGATGAATGAATGCAGCGTACTCTCCCGTGCAGAGTTATAGCTAAAGAAAGATATAGCCAAACTGACAGCAATTTTGGGAAGTGAATCAAGAAAATAGAAGTGATGGAACAAAAATGAACAAGAAGATGATTAATTTTAAAACCTTTGGGGGGGAAATAAAATGCCCCTAATTATCCTCCCCTCCCCCCGGCGCCACTGTCTCTCCGCCATTATTATCTCTGTATTCTTCGCAACCCAGCCCTACCCTACCGCGGAAGGGAGGGGAGACGGCGGGGGGGAGGGTCCGTTGACACGCAAAAATTTCAAGCACTCGGCCATGGCTCGGGGCTGGGGCAGGATAGCCAGGGTGGACATATCCTAGGCGTTGGCAGCAGGGCGCATTAATTGGACACTGCCAAACAATCCAAGCAAAAAAGCGAGATGAGAAGAGTCTTGGAGGACAAAAATAACAAGGTCTTCTGCGCAGAGAGATAAGAAAAAGAGAAACATCATCTTTGTTTTTCATTTTACTTCCACAAAATGCCCGCCCATCCCATCCCATCCCATCCCATCCCATGCCTAGCTGGGGGGGAGAAGAGAGGAGAGGAGAGGAGAGAGGAGCAACTTCGCGATTGGCGTCGTGCGCTTCACCGCCTTACTCTCAACTAACCCACAAAGGGTTTCTTCTATTTAAGTGAATATTCGCGAAAACTCGTTGGCGGCAGCAAAATATCCTGGAAGACTTGAAGCTTTTTTTTCTTTTTTTGTTCGATTTCGCCGCCAGCGGATCCACAGAGAACGTGGGGGTGAAGCTGAAATAATAAAACTATCTCTGTTCCTCGTATTAATCCCACAATAAAAAATAAATAAAATAAAATAAATACATAAAAAAAATTACATAAAAAAATAAAATAAAAACAACCAACCAAACAACCAAACAACAAATAATAATGATAATAATTATAGCAACGGGCTTATTATTACCTAGGTATGAAGAGGTTCTGCAGGAGTAAACAAAGCCTTTTGTGGTGGGGTCAGGATAAAAAGTAACAGAGATCGGGTGGAGTCACACAAACAAATGGCGACGTAGCATTTTCAAAGCTTAGCCTGCAACATAACTAGGTGACATAACTAACAATAGAAAAAATTAAAAAATTAAAAATAAAAATTAAAAAAATTAAAAAAAAAAATTAAAAATTAAAAATTAAAAATAAAAATAAAAATAAAAATAAAATAAAAAAAAAAAAGAAAAAAGAAAAAGAAGTACTACATAAAATCCTACAGTAACAAAAAAAAAGTAATACTGACAGAGAAACATAATAAACGGAGAGGGGAGCATTAGAATTTGTTACACAAGACGGAAAAAAAATTATAAAATGAAATAAAATGAAACGAAATACCCTTCGCATCCAGTCCAGTATTCAAGTTTCCTCCACCGAAATGATCTTTTTCGCCGATGGCCCAAATAATATCAATAACAATAATTAACCCCTATCCATCAAGAGTGCCCCTGCGATATCATCCATCACGCACCCAATGCGTCGTATGTGGAAGCTTCCAATTCGGCTGAGCGGCGTAGGAGATAAGATGTTGATTACGAAAAGAAAATAGAGTTGAAGCAAATATTAACAAACAAGAAAGAAATAGAAAAAGAAAATAGAAAGAAATAGCAGACAAGAACGGGGAAAAAAGGAAACCAACAACCTTCCCACAATGAATTTGGAAAAAAAAAAGAAAAGAAAAAAAGGCTCCCACTCTAACGATTCCCCCTTGGTCACGACGACGCCTCGACTGCCACTTCTGGAGCCGCATCGGTCATTTCTTCGTCTCCTTTTTGGCCATTATCTTCCTTCATCACGATATCCCCATCCTGTTTAATATGACCACGACCATCGTCACCTGTCGTTGCAGGTTCTACTTCCGCCTCTATCTCACCAACCCACGATCGGAATCGTTGATTTGCCTGATCGACTTCTTCCTTCGTGAGCCCGTGAACCCAGCTGGGATTGCTGACGAACTTTTCCCGGAACCGCTCTTTGCGCCTTTCCCTGGCTGCAGCGCGCTCCTTCGCAGCCTCTGCAAGATCTTCTTCTGGATTAGCCCGGCGATACCACCAATCCTCGGTGCCAGGCTCGTAGAGAATATGGTAGCTGTTGGCGCATATACGTATGACCAACCCGTCGTGGCTAACGAGAGGCTTGTAATACAGGTTATATTCTTCATCCGAATCCATTTTGCCAGGAAGGTTCCGCTTCAAGAAAGGCATGCGCATTTGTGAGAATGGTACTCCTTCAGTCGGGTCACGCATTGTGAACGCAGAGACATAGTAGGACCATCTGGCTTCTGCATTGAGCTCTTCATTGTCAAGGGTGCCGTCTTCAGCGGTTAACAGCTGAGCCGTAACGTGCTTGGTAGCCGGAACCTAAATTGAGCGGAGAGAGAGTTAGCTTGAATTCGCTGTGAAAAATAATTTATTTTCAAAATGCCGATACTTACGAAAGTAACTCGGTAAATATCCCCTTCCTTAATTAATTTTTCAATCTGCTTGCGGTATTGGATCTCCTGGTTATGAGTTGTCATGTCCTTGCCACGCTCTTTGAAGAAGATATTGATGATATCTGAGCTCTTATCCTTGGGATCAGAGTTGAAAATCCCACCGGCATATCTAGAGATTCCACTCAGGATCTTGTCCAAGTTGTAAAGCTGCCAGCCAGTCTTCAGGTAAAACCGACGTAGTGTCTCCTCCATATGGGACATTTCGATGTTTCCCTTAATTACTTCCTCGCACATGCGGACGATCTGATGGTACAGATTAGATTTTGGGTCCGTATCATAGAGGAGATCAGAAGGAGACTTGTCGATCATTCCAAGATCGTAGGCAGCCTTTGAAGCCATCGCCCTGCGTACAGCTTCGTGGGCATCTTTCTCATACAACTTAATGCGGAGAAGGCGGGTATAGAAAATTTCGAAGGTGCGGATAAAGCAGTAGATGTTTAAGTTGCAGTAGAGATGATGAACCTTCTTCTTGTATGATTCATTCAAGGGAACTTCGCGCTGCTGGTTGAAGTTACCCTGGCTTGGATGCTCCATCCACTTCAATTCAGCAACATCGAATGGCTCAGTTGGGTCCGGAATTGGGGTGGACGGAACAAGAGTCCCTATACCTGGCGTGGATGCTCGGCTACCAGAACGTACACTAATGTCTCGATCAACACGTGGAACCTTTTCATTGCGGCGCTCAAGAACATCACGCAGAAGGTCTAACTTTTTGCCATTCGCAATCTTCCGTGATCGGATGGTAGAAACATCTTCAGGCGGGGGTGTTTCATCTTCAGCTTCCTCGCTGACCGGTGTGGTATCATAAACTTCGCTTAGGTACGTTTTGAAGCCCTCACGATCCATGCCAAAAAATACGGGAATGAAGTCCTTCAAGAAGTTCATGACTTTGTTTGGGTCTGCCCCGAAACCGGTAGAGTTGTGGTCGATATGGCACAGCAAAAGGTGAGTTGCGTCTACAAGAACCTCGGCATCATCGAACGCGAAATCAAATTGATAGTTGGGAACTTGATATCCGCTCTTTCTAATATTTCGAAGTTCTTCGAGCTTGGCCTGGATTTCGTGTTGGATGTGTTTCGCGACGAATAACTTTTTATCTGACCCTTTCATGATAATAGCTTGGTGATCAAGACTCCTCCAAAAACCTTTTTGCATTTGCTCACGCCATACTTTATCCCATTCACGCTGCAAAACATTATTAGTACACTTGAAGTATGCATCCATTATACGAAACTATGGGGTTACTTACTTGGCTAGCTTTCCATTCTTCACACTTCTGCTTAAGTCGTGCAAGAACAATGGGAAGCACAGTGCATGGCCGTGCAAACATTTCGTCGATAACTCTCTGGCCACGCTCCCTATCATAAATCTTCTTAATGATCCTCCTGTAAATTGTTTCACTCTGCCCTCCCAGCCCTGGAGGGAGTTTGAAATTCGCTCTCTCCGCTTCAGTCATTGTCGACATTTGTTGGACAAGGGGCTCCATAAGCTGAATGGTACGAATACACGCTTCGATGTGATGATCGTAGTCATGCCTGTCCTCTTCAATACGATGCAGAGAGTCTTCGTACTGATTTTTCCGATGAGCAACAAAGCCCGAATCCTCCGAGGCCCACGTGGGATGGGAGGCCCATTCATCATTGAGAACGCTTTGGCACATATCATCACGGCCGCTGCAAGGCTTCTGGCGCTCACGTTTCGGTAGCAAGCGATAACTAGGACCAAGGGCGCGACAATGCGACAGATTGACAACGCCGGACTCAGGTTTGGCTTTCGGCTCAATGATCTCATCCTTGGGCTCAACATGCATAAACCTCTTGAACCATGACATAATCTCCTGGTTGCCTCCGATGAAACTAGCCGCTCGGTTGATAAGGATATTCCTATCAATTAGGTCCGCCGAATAGAGGTTACAAAGCTTCAAGAATTCCCCAAAAGTTTGCTTGTTTCCAATGTACTTCTTGACGCGATCGAAGAACGCATATTCTTCATGAGACGGAGTCAGTGAAAAGGAGGGAGATATCGGTTCTGGAAGAGCGGGTACGAGCGTTGGAGATACAGCAGGGGGGGCTTCAGCTTGGGTCGTCGGTTTGTGGCTCAGTTTGGCTCTTTTGCCAACAGCGCCGGGCTGGACACCTGGAGCCCTATTCGACTGGCTACCGGTGATGCTAGCAGAATCGGCAACTGCACTTGGGGCTGCTCCCAAACCAGTACTTCCTGGAGGCTGGGCGGGAGGTTGGCCACGTCGTTTCTTGATATCTTTTGTAGGCTCCTTCACGTTAAACTGACCCAGAGGGGGCATCTTCACATCGCGGTTTTGCCCCTGGAGCAAGGTGGACGAACTTGCATATCCAGGCTCTCCCCGTATGTTACTGATGGGTGTAGCCTCTTCGGCTGCCTGGCGAGCTGCTGCTGCTTGAGCCTTTGCCTGGGCCGCTGATTCGGGAAGGAATTGTTTAAAATCTTCGAGGAGGTCTGGGGCGGAGTTGAAGAGGAGAGTAACCTGGGCGTACACATCTTGAATTGGTTTCGACTCTCGCTGGTATGTCTGGAGGATTTCGAGGAACTGTTTATACGTATCGGGGGAATCGGCAAAGCGGTTCTATTCGGAAAACACAGTGGGTGAGCAATTGTTATTACCCATGTAGGCTTCCTACTACCCTTACCAAAAGGAGCACATACCTTGATCTTATTAACGTAGCTGATAGCATGGTTGAACTCAACAGGACCGCGTTTACTCATATCACCCTGCACACTATGAAGCACACCAGGCCCCAAACTCCCCAGGTTATTCATGGGCTGGGCTGGCCCTTGGGGCTGCATACCGCTCATGTTCATCACTGACGATCGTCCAGACCCTGCTGTGGCAGCAGACACGGCGCTCTGCAACTGTGAAACGCCTCGTTGTTCCTGCTGATGTGCAATTGCCGCAGCGTTATTTTGCGCTTGTTGGTCTTGCTGGCCCGGGTAATCATAAGCTGACTCCTGGGGCTGGTTTTGCGCGCCTTGTTTCCCGCCGTAAATCGCGGATGGCATTAAATGGCCTTTTGGAGAGTAAGGCCCGCCGGGACCCATGTTCATTCTCGACATTTGTTGTGGTTGTTGTTGGCCTTGGGTGGGTGGTTGTTGCCATCCGGAGCGAGGTTGGTCATAGTAGTCGGATCCCGCAGCAGGTCCAGGCCCTCCTTGCGGCACCGAGTCACTCGCTGCTTCCAAAGGCGGCCTCGTTGCCGACTGCATTGAAATAGTATTTGTTCCTGATGGAGTTGTCACCCGGATCGCATCTGGGTTATCCTCAGTGCCGCATTCAATTCGGTAACCGGGTGGCAGAAACGTATTAAACCCCTGGATAAGTGTCGGATGGCCGTTGAACAGAGTAGAAACCCGTTGGATAACGCCAGGGGTGTCAATTCTATAAAGGTGAGTCAGTACTCTCTCACTTCTGGCCGCGCTTCTCAAGGCACACTTACGCTTGACTTTTAAAGTCTTTCATTATATCCAGGAAGCGGTTATAGACATCAGGCTGTTCGACGAATCGAACCTTCACCTGGTCAAGATAGCTTAATGCATCCTGTTGGGCGGTCGCCATTGGATTAGTACAGATCCCAATAGTTTGCGTGAAGTGGAACGGGAAAAGAAGGAAAAGGGTGATGAATTCGCACGTGGCAGATCTAGACAAGAAGTAAGTTCAACGCTAGATGAGCGTACATTCTCAGAGCATATATGTGTAGCTCTGGAGTGCTGAAGGCTCCTGAAAATGACACCATTGTGAATAGGTATATTCTTTGAGCTGTGGCCCGAAAATCGTGAAAGGCATTATCTTTCTAGGCACTTCAGGTCCAACAGTGCCAAAGCGCTTTGACTCAAAGAATGATACTGCATCCCACAAAGCCATTCTTTATACGGAAGGTATCCTATCGCCCCAGACGTTTCCCAAAGTGCAAACGCTAAACAAAAGGAAGAAAAAGGAGACCACAAACGCAACCCTCTGCAAGAGATGTCAACTTACGTTTAATATTGGTTGTTGCCCTTGTGCCAAAGCAGCTACACTTCCCGGGATCTGAGGTGGTGCATTGCCATTGAACCCAAGCATTGATTGCTGAGGTGGCTGGCCTTGGTGGAGATATGCTCGGGGAGGACCATCTGCGTGCTGTTGCATCTGGTTGCCAAATAAACCTCCAGGTGCATTCGAACTAGGAATAGGACCTTGTTGAGGGTTAGGTGCAGCGCTTGCGCCCAGGTTTGAGAGCAGGCCATTAGGCCCACCGAGGGGGTTGTGACCTTTGGACGCGACGGGTTGGTGAATAGGAATTGGGCCGGCGTGGCTTTGTACAGGATGATGCGGTTGGTCGCGATTATACCGATCCATGAGTTCCCGTTCCCGTTCTAGTTCTCGGTATTCGCGCTCTCTGTGGATCATTTCGTCTTCGCGAGCTAGCTCTCGTTGTCTTTCTAGCTCACGGTCTCGGTCCCGGTCTCGATCTCGGTCTCGCTCTCTCGAGTCTCTTTCACGTTCGCGGTTTAGAGATGCTTGTGGGGGTGAATGTTGCATCGACTGGCCAATCCCGGGAAGAGGGTGGCTTGGGGGATGAGACGGTTGTTGATGCTGGCCATATCTCGGAGGGGGTTGGTGTGATGCTGGAGGGGCGCCAGCGCCTTGCGTTAAATCTGATAGGGTGGGGAGTGTATGCCCGGATGACTGGTTGACAGGATGGTATGGGCCTATATAACGAACAACAGGTTAGTTGCCGCGAGTTTTGCGCGTCTATGGAATGCGATTGTGCCTCTTCCTCAGTTCTTGGCGCTGTTGGTCGCAGTTGTGCCAGGGACGGCAAAGAGCGGGCAAAGTGGAAAAAGGAGCTCACTATGGTATCAAAACAGCATATGTTAGCGTCAGAAGCTCAATAAAAAGGGCCTTAACACCGGTTATGATGATGACACAAGGGGTATTTTTGTGCGCAAGGGAGAAGAAAATTACTTACCCATAGGATCCCAGGGGTCGTGCTGGGGGCTGGTTCATCTGGTCAACTCCAGGATGAGGTTGCGATCCACCACTTCCCGAGTGCCACGAATCCTTATTTGAGGGATTCATCGTGTTTATATGTAGTCAAAATATGGCTCCGGGGGTGACTAATTTCAACACTAGGAAGAAGCTGTAGGCGATTTTAGCCTCTTTTTGTTGGTGGTTGCGAAGGAGAAGAATGGGGGAGCTGGGGAGATGACAGGAGAACAGGGAGGGTCAAAAAGCAGAGGATAATATGAACATAGTCACAAGTTAAAATGACAAGATATTTCCCAACATGTATGCGACCAACCACAACAGGGTGATTAAGCTAGACACACGTAGTCTGCGTGGTTGAGAAAAGTTGAAGCTGGCGGAATCAATCTGGAGGTGATGATGTTGCTACTGACCGCCCTGGGACAAGGGGAGAGGCTCGATTTTTCTGCCGCGCTCCAACCACGGCGCTAGATCCCTTTGGGTTGCGGCTAGGGCTTGCTGATTGGGGGAACCGGAGTAGCCGTCCACGTGACATCTGCGCCGATTTTGTTTGCCGAACCCTGGTCGACGCCAAGAACCGTGATTGGGCTATTCCTACCTAGGTATTGTTAATAACCTATCACGTGATACTGACTTATCAATTGTTTTGCACTAGGCTAGGTTCCTGCTCAACGCTTTCCAACCTAAGAATATACATATGAGTGTGCGCCTGTGTAATATCACAGTTATTAGGGGAATTATCATGGTTGCAAACATGGGTCATCCCAATTACATCCACCCGGATCTCCATGTTGCGAAAATTGCCACCCCGACACCCCGCAAGCCAAAACGCTCTGTTTCAAGTGACACAACATTCTAGGAAAGAAATAAGTCCTCAGACATGACTTCCGAGTATACGAGCCCTAGAATGCTTAATGACGCACTCTACATCCTGAAAGATCGCCTTGGATTCATATTTTTTCCTCTTCCCTTACCAACCATGTCTCGTTCAAAACAAAGATATATTGAAGCCACTGCAACTCTTCCGAAATTTCTTGGATTGAGCTTTGATCGGGCAGGCCATTATAATCCTCATTTCATATTCCTTAAGGCAGGGGGAACATTGTCACTTTTTCCCCCAGAGGGTCGAAGAATGACATTTTGAATATGGCTGGCCGTCCATGTGGATTAATGGTCGCAGTGCATGTTCTCTGCCAGAACTGTCTGCAAATTCGGGTTTCTATCTCTTCTATCGATTTGGAGTTGGTAAAAATTCCAAAGCAAAGTACTTCAAAAAGGGATCACTGGAATATGTCTAAACTCTCTCCAAGTGTTAACAGAGGGTACTCAAGTACAATTACTGTCATGTCATGGGCGGAGCTAATAATCGACAAACGGAAGCAATCTTCTATTTCAATCGATTGCTCTGGTATGCAGCATCAAGCACCTCGCTACTCCAGGCTAAGCAGTTGGTTCAAGAGGCGGGGAATGAAGCGGATGTGTGTGATAAGTCTTGATAAGTTTTGGCCTTTCAGTATGCTTGCCCACTGGTTTTCAATGAGTGTATACTATATATGTCTTGGAAATTATAGAGCAATGATGAGGCGGTAACGGATGGGAATCTCTTGACCTTCAAGGAAGTATTCGGTGTATCAGTAGAAAATGTGGTTGTTTCACCCAGCATTATTTAGAGCGCCTTTGTACTGCGTATAGTTAGATTTCGGCTTAGCCGAGATAAGTTAAGCGAGCTTGCTTAGTTACTTAGACAAGTACGCTGTATGTAACTATGAACAAACGACGCTGAAGGAAATACAACTTCCAAGATTATCAGCAAGGGTTGATCTAAAAAAGATATATATCGGGATTCACTGAGCGATAGATATTTTAATAAATCTGCATAATAACCCTGAATTATGGATCGTTTTCGTATCGCCAACCCGTTCGTTCGGCCGATTTCGCTACATATCCGCTTAACCGTCCATGTTGCTATCGGGTTGTGACTGGCCGCGCCCAACATGTGGCCACTTAAATATCTGGCATTTACTTCTTGGACTGCATTGGGGTTTACCTCGTGGCATCTGTCGCCTGCATTGAATTTCGATAGCCGAGAGGCGACGATCGAAACAGTCCACGGTGAGCTATTCTCAGGGAGGACATCATGTCGGGAAGTCGTATTCTCCTTCCTGGCCCGGATCGAGGAATACAACCCGAAAATCAACGCAGTTGTGAGCCTAAACCCGCGGGCGTTAGAGTATGCGGATGATATGGACAAAGCTTTTGGGGAGAATAACGCCAACGGATCCCTCTTTTGCATCCCGATCCTTTTAAAGGATAATTACAACACTGTCGACATGAAAACCACTGGAAGTTCCAGGGCCCTGAAAGACTCCCAGCCAACAGCTGATGCTCCATCCGTCAAGGCACTCCGTGATGCAGGGGCGATTATTCTAGGAAAAGTGAATCTACACGAGCTTGCCCTCGAGGGTCTCTCGGTCTCTTCTCTTGGTGGTCAAACTTTGAATCCCTATGACTTGACCCGCACACCTGGCGGCAGCTCTGGCGGAACTGGTGCAGCCATTGCAGCTTCATTTGCGGTACTAGGGACGGGAACTGATACAGTTAACTCATTGAGGAGTCCCGCAAGCGCCAATAGCCTGTTCAGTATCCGTCCTACCCGTGGCCTGATCTCTCGGACTGGAGTTATTCCTGTCTCATATACGCAAGACGTTCTCGGGCCAATTGCGCGAAGCCTGAAGGATGCTGCTACTGCTCTCACGGTTATGGCAAATATTGGATATGATCCCCAGGACAACGCGACGGCTCTTGTCCCAGAATCCGTATTGGGTGTCGACTATACTAAAGCGCTAGTTGCCCCAGGTAGGTTGAAGGGCATTCGCCTAGGCTTAATTGAGGGCTTCTTCAACCGCACTCGAGACTCCGAGACAAGCCCTGTAAATAAAGTGATGAACGACATGATATCAAAGCTCCGAGCAGCGGGTGCTACTGTTATTACCATCCACGAACGCATCTACAATTCAATCGAGATTTCCAAGGACCTGGATGTGCAGAGGTTCGAGTTCCGCGAACTGATGGACGCGTACCTACAGAGCGAAACACTTGGAGGGTCTCGCCCGTCGAGTCTAGCCGAGCTGTACAGCAGCGGGGAGTATCTTGTGATTCCTGAACAACACTCCTACGTGACGACCGCCCTCGTTTCATCAACAAGCAACGCAACTTACGCAGCGAGACAATATGGAATCCAACACCTCAAACTTGCCCTGCAAACTACCTTCAAGTCTCACTCTCTGGACGCCATCATTTATCCCGAACAGCAAAATCTGGTTGTGAAAACGGGCTCCCCTTCACAATCTGGTCGCAATGGCATTTTAGGAGCTGTCACAGGGTTTCCAGTTGTTACCATTCCTGCAGGATTCTCACCAGCAAGTAAGGATGCGCCGGACGGTGTACCCATTGGGATGGAGATACTGGGGTTACCTTGGACGGAACAGAAGTTGCTCAGTATCGCGAGCAGCATTGGAAATTTAGAGCAAGTTAGACGCATGCCACGGTTGGTTTCAAAGCCTGTGCGGTCTAAGAAGTATAACTCTGTTCCCATTATTAACCCAAATTCGGACGGCATTTCTGGGACTTATCCGCTTGGTCTCCTCGGAAATGAGTAATTGAGACTCCATTTGGGTGTCAATATTTATCTTTGCCAAACATAACATGCACGGACAGCTTTAATGGCGATGGTGGGAGGATGCATAGAACCTCCACTTGGAATTTATAGATACCTTCTATGGAGACTACATAATCAAAAGGGTGTTCTCACCCTTCGTTATGCAGCTTGGATTTCTTTCTGGCCTGGCTCACTTTAAGCCATTGAAACCCGTATCAAGGGTTCTGATGAGTGACTCACTGGTCTCATTTACAGCAGTTATATGGATAAAAATTATTTTCAAGACCTATAAGTGTCTACCTAGGCATGTAGATAGGCCTATATAATGAATTCTATGTTATCAATTGATATGCCGCAGTTATATCTCCTTGTCCACGTAAATACCGGTTGACCTGGTATAAGGCTATAAAATTCGTGTTAATTTCGTCGGCTGAGTGACCACATTTGCCATTGCATATTAAGCTGCATAAATGATTTTTGGACCGTAACACAAGTAAGTGTCTCTGGATACTGTCTCGTCAATATTTTAAACCTCCGTACCCCTCAATCCTCACTTCCCCACCATTACCAACACGTTTGACTCTCTCAAGTTGACCACTTTGTGCTTTCTATTCCTCACTCAACACAGTGTTTTGCTTTTATCAATCTAATCATGGAGACGCTAGAACCTCATACAGTCTCCCTCCTCAATGTCCCGTCTAAACAAGCCCCGGCCGAACCCCGCACAGTTGTAACAGAATGGGTGGACCAATTCCGCGCGTCCCTGGCGCAGGGGAATGTGTCCGATCTACAACGGCTCCTCCACAAAGATGCATGGCTGCGCGATATGGTCGTTCTCTCGTGGGACCTCCGCACCCTCCACGGTGCTGACAGCGTAGCCGCCTATTTCCAAGAGAACCTAGCGAGAGCAAAGTTCGAAAAGCTTCAAGTTAGGGACTCTGGGCGGTTCGCACCGGCGTTTAAAACAGCTGCGCCGGGATTACAATGGATTGAGACTATTTTTGATTTTGAAACGGAGACGGTGAAGGGTGCTGGAGTGCTTAGGCTTGTCCAGGATAGCGATGATGCTTGGAAAGCGTACATGCTCAGTTTCACACTGCAGGGGTTACAGGGGCATGAAGAAATGTGTGGCCGCAATCGCCGTGATGAAGGTTCTAATGCAATAGCTGATAATCCACATGGGGAGACATGGCTAGAAAAGAGGGCGAGGGAGAGGAGCTTCAAAGATAGTGAGCCCACTGTACTAGTCATTGGAGCAGGTATGTCTCATTATCCATATCCTAACTTATGTGCACGATGTACGACATGGATTTTAACAAAATACTCGGGCAGGGCAGGCAGGGCTCATGATCGGTGCCAGGCTGGGCCAACTAGGCATCCCGACCCTGATCGTTGAGCGTAACGCCAGGATTGGCGATAACTGGCGCAAGCGATACAAGGTATGTGGATATCAAGCCCCAAAGGGCATGATATTACCTTATCGTGCTAAACATGCACTTATAGACCCTGGTCACCCATGATCCGGTCCATTATTGTCAAATGCCATATCTTCCATTCCCATCCTCTTGGCCCCTGTATACCCCCAAGGACAAGCTAGCAGACTGGTTCGAAGCATACGCTAGCGCCATGGAACTCAATGTATGGACAAACACAGACATTGAAAGCAGCGAATACGACGAAAGCTCAAAGACGTGGTCCGTAACTGTGCGTTCGAATGATAGTACTTCACGCACCGTACATCCACATCATGTCGTCCTAGCCACCGGTCACTCAGGGGAGCCGCTAGTGCCCAATGTCCCCGGAAGAGAGCAGTTCCAGGGCGAAATATATCATAGCTCGCAACACAAGCACGCCTCTGATCATGAGGGTAAGAAGGGTAAGAAGGTCGTCGTCGTCGGTACTGGGAACAGCGGCCATGACATTGCGCAAGACTTCTACGAGAACGGCGCGGACGTAACCATGCTCCAGCGCCGCGGGACCTTCGTGATCACGCAGAAACACGGAGTAGCTGCGCTTATGACCGGTATGTATGATGAAACCGGCCCAGCCACCGACGAGGCGGACACCTATGTGCAAAGCATGCCTATACCCGTTCAACTCGCCTGCCACGTGTTTGCAATGAAGATGCTTAGCGAGGGTCCGGAAAAGGCAATGCAAGAAGGTCTAAGGAGGGCAGGTTTTAAGCTCGATGCTTGCCGTGATGGAGCGGGAATTTTTCGGAAATATCTCACTCGTGGAGGTGGGTATTACATCGATGTCGGCTGTAGTCAATTGATTGTCGATGGTAAGATAAAGGTTAGGCAGAGTGGGGGAGGGATTGAACGGTTTGAGCCTGATGGCCTTGTGCTCGCTGACGGAAAGGGGACGAAGCTTGCTGCTGATATCGTGTTGTTGGCCACCGGGTATGATAATATGAAAAGCACTGCGAGGAAGATTATGGGGGATAAAGTTGCTGATAGGCTGTATCCCGCATGGGATTTGGATGACGAGGGGGAGCTTAATGCGGTATGTTCAATTCCGTCTTTACCCCTGGCCGCCTCCCTCTATTGAATTCTTTGCCCTGAACCCCTTTGTCTTTCTTTGCTGTCCGCATTCGCATATTGCATATTAATTATGCTCAATTTCACGCAGCTAATATGATGGCTATAGATATGGCGTTACAGCGGCCATTCTAACTTCTGGTATATGGGCGGGAATCTGGCTCTATGCCGCCTGTTTTCCCGACTGCTAGCGTTGCAGATTCTGGCAGTGGAGGAAGGATTATATGTCCTCCCGAAGAGTAAGAAGTAGCTTGGGATAAAATAAGACATGCGCCGAATAGAAGCAATAATATGAGGAAGGGCCTGGGCTTCGTTGCTTCATGTTATATAGAGAAACTCTTCATCCACACCTGCGTGCTCGAGAAAGTATCTGCCAAGTCTGCCAAACGCGGTGGGTGATTTGCGGAGCGAAGCGAAGCAATATGTTAGGTGCTTACTTTTCATAGAATATCAGCAAGTATCTCTAAGCTCACTGATCTTACTAGTTTTCCAATTCTTTTGTTTTTTTTTTACTGTGTCTCTGTCATTCATGCTATACTTGCAGTGACAGCAGTGAAAAGTTGAAATATCTGTCAGATTGATTTTATCACAGCATTTCTGATTAGAATAGAAGGTGAGATCTTGCAGGCCCCATTCTGTGATATGATTGGTTGAAAAAATGCACACCACCCCATGTGACCACCCATAGAGGAAGGCCATTGATGTTGGGGGTCCCGGGTTGATCGGCCCTTCTACCAGCAGTGCGCTGGTGGTGATTGAGCTCTTTTGCCCCAGTAGCCTACAATTGATTGGTTATGTCGAATGCCACTGTGGATTGATGAGAAGTTCTACTGATGTTGATCCCCCTGTCCACCCGCAGCAGGATGATGATGGGAAGAAGGCCCTGAGCCAGCTGTTGAGGTTCCTTCTTTTCCTTGATGATTTGAACCTCCCGCGGAAGGATCTCCATGTTGATGTTGAGAATGTTGATCTTTTTCTTTTGTGTGAGAAGAATCCCCTTGTGTATTCCCTTTTGAACCAGCGCGTGTCTCCCAAGCATCCCCATTCAGATTCCACTGTTGATACACCCGTTCCAAAGAAAGAGGTTAGCAATGAGAAGATGGCTGCTGCGGATTCTACCTCATATACCTTGACAGATCTCACAACGCCTACTACCGGAATGCCTTGCTGAACCATTATGCCAATGCCAATGCCTGGGACCCCCGGTGGCCCGTTCTTCGATGCATCTGATCTGTCAATGTCGAATGCCCCTGCCGGTTCTGCATCTAGATCAATGTCGAATGTGCCTTCCTGTCCTGTGTCGAATCCGTCTGTGATGGATGCAAATGCCATTCCTGTGATTCCTGCCATCCCTGCAATCCCTGCGATTCCTGCTGTCCCATCACTGATTCCTGCCGTCCCTGTGATTCCCGCGGTGTTGAATGCGAATACTGTTCCTGCTTGCAATGTTGATAATGAGCAGCGCGTGGATAATAGTGTTCTAGAGAAGCTAGTTGGCCAGATGGATTCTTTATCTCTTGCAGTTGCCGGAATTCAGAGACAGAAGACACAATCTATGGCTGCCCTGAAGATTCCTCCCACCCGTGGACCCGTTGATCATTCTCATCCTATTGATATGCCGAATGTTTCATTCCATGGTTTTCAGCATGATCCTGGTTTTGATCGATAGAATTGATGGGGTTGTGGAGACTCCAGCCATAATGTTCCACGCTGTTCAAAGATCAACCGGCTCCTTGACCAGGGGAAGATTTATAGGGATATCCGTGGGAAATACTATGTGGGTAATGTTGTCAATCGCGGCCCAAGGATTCCTCTCAATCGATATGAACCATATATATTGCCTCTATCGAACGAGCCCTCAGCCGGCATGCTGCACAGGATCCCCCTGTCTCTGCTGTCCCTGTCTGCACCATTCCTACCCGCATTCCGAGTGTCCCACCAGATATTCCTCCCCGCGTCCCACTGCTGTCCCTTTCAGCTGGAGATGAGGGTGATCAACAATTGGAGGATCTTCGTGGTTGATGATGTGGGATGACGTTGACTGTGATGTTGGATGTTGAATGTGGTGTGGGATGGCATTGAATGTGGGATGTTGAATGCGATGTAGAGTTGCGAAATGGATGGAACAGATATTACCGCGTGGTAGACAGCCAATGAGGATTTCCCGGCCCAGGGCGGCCATCACATGATTCAACCAATCATGAGTGCCCATGTCAGCAGCACCTTCCGCAATTACCGCCTACTGCCATCTGTCTGTCTCTATTTTTGGTTTTTCATGTTCCCGCTGCTCCGTGAATCTGTCGTGTTCTCTTTCCTTTTCTGCCATTCTTTTTCCTTTTTCTTTGTTCTCCTATTGGTTGTCTTTCCTTTTCTTTGATTCTTGATCCGCTCATTGATTCCCCGTCTGTATTTTTCCTATTTTCTATTGGTTCTGGGTTGCAATCTTTGATGAATTGGATCGCATTCTTATGTTGCCGGGTCGGCAACGTAGGGAGAGGGGGAGATATGTAGTGGTCTTGGAGTGGAACAACTTTTCGCCGGGCTTCGCCTGCAATAAACATCCAATTCTTGAATGATGATTGATTGATTGATTGATGTCGCAAACAATCACCAAAAAAAAAAAAAAAATAAATAAATAAATAAATTCCAAAGGTTTTTCGACACTCCCCTCCCTGCACTCACTGCAACTTATGGCTGCTAGTGAGAAGCATCATCTCAACCAGATGAATAGATGAAGATTTTAAGAACTGAGGAAAACGTTGAGGTTTAATATATCTCTATTTGTCTCGTATCTGCCCCATCCATTGGATTCTTGGCCTGACTGTCGCGATTTGCGAATTAATTAATTTTATTTTATCTTTTCCTATCTTTTCCGAGCCTCAGCTTTTTTAAATAGTTAAATCCCCGAGGCGCGGTCTTGGCAAGCGTCAGATTAGAAAATTCCCTGTCTATGTACATGTACTTTTTAGCCTTTCTTTAGAATAAGTTACTGCCTCGACAGATAAATACATCAATGCGACGCCCTCCCTCAAATAGACCTGAGAGAACGTATATGAGAACGGTGCTCATAGCTTGGGGAATTCAGTTTAAAAAAATAGCCGTCTCGTTTTTAGAAACCATAACTATCTCCATAACTACGCAAGAGGAGGAAGCGGAGCTGCTGTTCGTTAGCTCTCCATGGGACAAGGGGCCGACCAATCTTTTTCGATATGGTTCTCTGTATGTGCATCATACACAGCTCAAGTCTATCTTAATATATACAATAATTATAATCACAATTATATATATACATGTTCAGGATAAATATATATCCAACAAGAAACCCCAAAATAGCGTATACATAACTACAAAAGCGCAAAACCTCCCTCCCTTGAACCCCACCTCTCACACCGCAGCATACCCCCCTAAAGCCTCGCCCTCAAATATCCCATAACCATCCCCAGCCTCTTCACCGCTGGCCCATCCTCCACCGCCCCACCGCCGCCGCCATCCTCCTTCCGCCCGATAATCTCCTTCCTCGCAGCCTCCACATAGGGCTTCAGGAATCCCCACACCGTATCCTGATACGTCCCGTCAACCTCCAACCACTCCGCCACGCCGGGCATTTCTCGCCAGTCCCACTCCCAGTCCTGACCATGTTGGTCATGTGGGTGTGATTGTTGTTGTTGTTGTTGTTGGATGGCGGTGAGTATGGAGTTGATATCTGGAATTAGACTGAGCTGGTTCGGGGGAAAGGATGGCGTTTGGGTTGTTGTAGTTGTAGTTGTCCCTGTCGTCGTTGGTGATGGGTTACGTGAGGAGGAGGAGGAGGAGGAAGAGAAGGTTGACGGTGGTTGTAGCATGGAAGCGTCTAGCTCGAAGAGTTCGCTTTCTGGGGATTCGGGAGGTGTGAAGGTTGCTGGTTGGAAGGTTGGGGAGGAGAGGAGGGCGACGACTGCTTGGCCGTCTGTGGAGTGAGGTGTGTAGGAGGTGTGGTGGGATAGATCGCGGGTAGGGTTGTTGCGTTGGTTTTGACTATGATTGTGATTACGGGTGGTGGTGGTGGTGGAGTTGTGCCAGGCAAAGTCGAAGGTGTCGTTGGGTAGGTGTTTTTCGAGAGACGCGGATGAGGAGGTGGTGGTATAGCGGAGGGATCGAGGAGATCTACCGGCTCCTCTGTTCTAAACTTTCCCTTCCCCTTTCCGCTGGATACATCGTAGGGATGTAGAAGGAGAGCGTCACCGCCATTGCTGTCATTGATAATGTTATTCTGTGGAGGATCTTGGAACCGTTCCCAAGTTCTATAATCATCTTCATCATATAGGTTCGATGCCGCGGAGGGTGGTGCGGAGCGGAATGACTCTGAGGGAAACCTCCGGGCCTCACTAGCTCGACTTGACGGTTGGCCTAGGCTTAACCCGTGTGACTGAGGTATAGTACCCGGCGTTGAAGACCCGGATTGTAGCGGTACATGCGAGGATGAGCTCCCTTTACCGGACGAGTCTAGTCCTGTAGCAAGGGTGGAGGCTATGTCGTGTGCGGCGGAGCGGGAGGAGGGCGCTGAAAAGGTGTTTTGTAGCAATCCCGAAGCAGAATCTTGGATTCTACTTGTCATTGAAGATATTTGTGAAGCGGGCTCGGAGCCAGGAGAGGACGACGAGGGCTGCGGCGTTTGTTCTTTCTCTCGCGAACCCCGCTGGGACGATTGGTTCTGCCGCATCTGTTGGTGTGGGGGAGGGGTAGGAGTATTATTATCCATTGGTTTGATTTTCAAGAATTAAAATTTCTCTTCGGGGGTACGTTGTCTATTGAAATGCATCATCTATCCGTATACCGTCAGATTAATGTTAGTTGACTGTCTGAATTTTGTCTGGCCGATGTCCTATATGTATGGAGGTAGGGCCCCTCAGGAATTGATGAAGAGGAGACAAACCTGAACAGTCAATGGAGATCGCGGGCGCTGAGTATACATAGAGCTTCATCTGTATTCCTTGAATAAATCCATAGCTATGATATCCAGTGGTGATCCATTTGGTATATGGTGAGGTAACTATTTAACAGTCGAGAAGATTTTCAATGGTGGCGGAGGAAAAAAGTCAGTATATAACTTATTTATTGATGCGCTTATTTATTTATATAACATGTGAAGGAACAAGCAAGTAAGTTAACTATTTAGTTCCCCCCCCCTTGGTAAGTTATTCACGTAACTAGTTATTTAGTTGATCAGTTATAGTTAAACAACCACCAGAAAGATCATCATCCTGAAAGCACCCTTAGCCAGGATTGAAATAAAAACAAGAAGAAATAGAGATCATCCAAGCTAGTCGATATATTTACTACGCAGTACAGCGGCGTATCCAAACCAAGTGGGATAAGTTAACTAATAAATAAGAGAGGTATTTCCGTGTACCTCCCCCGCACCAAAAGCGCCGCCCGGTACCTGTGACGACACCCAGCAACCATTTTTTTTCCCTCTCGTTGGTTCGAACTCGCTTTTCTTTTCCCGCTTCGATCGCCAACTCAACTCTGTCTTGTCTCTTGTTCTTGTCTTTTGGCTGCGTTCTTAAATAACTAAGTTACTATAATACGCAAGTAACTAGTAACTTAACTTAAGTAACTGACTACCTATCCGTCTTCATCTTCTGCTTCTCTCCCATTGCTCTACTCTGCTCCAACAATAATCCATAGACCCATCTCTTTTTCCTTTTACTCTTCAGTTCGTGATTGCTCGCTCTAGTTAGCTCTCCCTGGCTTCTCCCCTCTTCTTCCCGATCCTCTTTACTTAAAGTTATCCATCCCACTACGGTCGCGACACCAGCCAGTTTACATTCGACCCGCTTAGTTACCCTCTCCCAATCCCACCCCAGGATCACCAGTAAGTAAATTTTATTGAAGAACTATATACCATCCTTCTCTCTCCTTGCTTGGTTAAATGCTATATGTTTGAGCCTGAGACCTTGCCCGCTGTATAAGGCTGGCTGGCGGCTTGCTTAGCGGTGTCTCTCTCTCTCTCTCTCTTCTCGCTCTCCTCTCTCTCTGTCTCTTTCTTGCCTGCCGGAATTTCTCCCACGTCAACAACCAACAAATCCCCAACTAAATATAACTCACCACAGCCCTCAACCACACAGCTCTCGTCTATAGACCGCAATCACTTCTTCTGCTTCAACGACCGCTACCTTTCCTTTCCGTCTCTTTTCTCGATAGCCTACGCTACGCCTATTCTCCGCTTATCTCCATCCCTCCCTCTTCTCTCCGTTTGTCTTCCTCCCCCCGCCATTTCGTGCCAGCTATCCACCCTGGTCACCGTCCCTGCTCGCCCACGCCGCCCCGACATCTGCCAATCTCAACACGCTGAACCCCGCAGATAAGAACAGAGGGAAAATAATCACACAGGCCCCACGACCTGTCAGAGCTTTTGATTTTGCCCGTGTCACAGCCCATCACTTAGGGTTGTCGTTCTTAGAAAGATGGTAGACGGAGATCCAGGTTCACCTACCTGGAAGTTCACACAGTAAGCGCTCCATCCCCTCCAATTTTTTTCTCCTCCACATCATTCTACGCGACTGGAAAATACACACCACGCCACCTTACTCGTAGGCAGATGCCCAGCGGGTTCCATTAGCCTGGCCTTCCCCAGCGGGATTTCTGCCCCTCGTTGCGTTCTGCTGAGAGCACTGGCGCGAATTTTGAAATGCTTTGCGAAACCCGTTTCTAACAGCTTCGAAACAGATGCTTCGGCGATAAGGGCGATGTGGAAGATATCACAGATGGTTTGAACCCTCTTCCATTTACTTAATATCATTCTTCACTTTCCCGTCCCTTCCAACTTTACATCCTGTTTGGGCCTAATATACTTTTGACGGCCTCCCAATATCCGCTACGGCCGGCGCTGATGAATCTTGCTTCCCTGCAGCTGATATCATATCCACGGTCGAGTTCGATCACACTGGAAATTACCTCGCAACGGGCGATAAAGGAGGACGAGTTGTATTATTTGAGAGAAACGAGACAGTATGCTATGCTTCTTAGGCATTTTTTTTTTTTTTTTTTCACTCATGTCCTTGATAAGCATAAGAATCGCTAACTTCTCTCGACTAGAAAAAAACATGCGAATATAAATTCCATACCGAGTTCCAATCTCACGAGCCAGAATTCGATTACCTAAAATCTTTAGAGATTGAAGAGAAAATCAACAAAATAAAATGGTGCAGAAGGCAAAATGCATCCCATTACCTCCTTTCGACCAACGATAAGACAATAAAGCTTTGGAAGGTGTTTGATAAGTCGTTAAAGGTCGTTGCCGAAAATAACCTCTCCCATGATCTGACTCCGGCAGGCGCCGTGGCTGGAGGCGGCATGCCGCGCGCCCCGCACATTTCCTTCCGTGATGCGTCCTCTCTCAAGCTACCTCGCCTTACGCATCATGACACTGTAGTCGTTGCAGTTCCTCGACGTATCTACGCTAACGCCCACGCCTACCACATCAATAGCATATCGGTGAACAGTGACGGTGAAACGTTCATCAGCAGCGATGATCTTCGAATCAACCTGTGGAACTTGAATATCCAAGACCAAAGCTTCAATATCGTTGATATTAAGCCCGCGAATATGGAAGAACTAACAGAAGTTATTACAGCGGCGGAGTTCCACCCAACTAGTTGTAATTGGTTCATGTATGCCAGCTCCAAGGGAACTATCAAACTCGCAGATATGAGGCAGAGTGCTCTCTGCGATCAGCATCACAAACGTAAGCCTTTTTAAGCCCCTCAACCTCCCTGTTGTAAACTTTTTGCCTTAGTAGCACTCCTCACTTCCCACCTTCCGCCTGCTAACCTGAAATCTTCGCTTTGAATAGAATTTGAGCAAGAAGAAGATGCGTCCGCACGTTCATTCTTTTCCGAAATCATCTCTTCCATTTCTGATGTCCGCTTCTCGAATGATGGACGCTACATATTATCTCGCGACTATCTAACGGTCAAAATATGGGATGTCAACATGGAACGGCAACCTATAAAAACTATCCCGATCCACGAGCACCTCCGGCCCCGCCTATGCGATACGTATGAAAACGACAGCATCTTTGACAAATTCGAGGTAGTGTTCTCCGGCGATGCGGAGAATGTCATGACGGGTAGTTACAACAATAATTTCATGATCTATCCCTCTGATCCCAACAAGGAGACCGAAGTTGTTCTTCAGGCGGATAAGACTGCATTCAAAGCAAAGAAAGTTGGAGTACCGACTCCCATCAATTCTTCCGCGTCAACTAATAAGAAGGGCGGATCGAGGGCTGGTAGTCCTGCGGGTGCCGGTGGACGGATGAAGAAAGAAACGGACGCAGACCAGATTGATTTCAACAAGAAGATCTTACATATGAGTTGGCATCCTTTCGAGGATAGCATTGCGATCGCGGCTACTAACAATGTAAGCTGTAACTCTTCTTTTCTTCTTACTCCTCTGTCTGCCTTCTCATTCCATGTTCTATGTGTTACCCTTCTTGTTCTTCCAGCTTTTGTACCCACAGCCGCTAACATGTTCGTTTCAATAGCTATTCGTGTTCTCAGCTTTGTGAGTCCGAGGAGGTGAAAGAGGGAAAATGGAAAAAGCAAATTAATGAGAAAAGAGAAACAATGCTGGTAGTGCCGCTTCACCATGCTTTCTGCCCTTGATTATAATCTCCCGGTCCTGCAAAACCCCAATCATCCATCTCTCTATTGCATACACCTACTACTACTACTACCTTCTTCAGCAAAAAACCCCGCAGTCCAGTTTAATTCGTGCTATCAGGGTATTGGCAGCAGGCCTTCCGCCAGCAAAATACAATTTATTTCCTTTCCAGTCTTAAACTTTCCCTACCCCTCGCAGTCCCATCCATCTACTCTCTTCGTGTCATGTTACGCCCCATTTCTCCTCATCCCGCGTATGATTTTTTGTCTCTAATTGCCGCGAGGGAAGGAAAAGCAAACAACCATTTATAAACTAGGCCAGATAATTGCGTTGACTTACTGTCGTTGCAAGGGGGGGGGAGGGGGAGAAAAGGAGGAGAAAGGAGAGAAAACCAGTTGCTGTGTGTGATATGTATGGATGGTATAGAGGGTTTAGTAAAGGATCTCAAAGCTGTTAGAAGTCCTCCCCCCTCCATCCCCCCTACCCCCTAAAAAATCCGTCCCACCTCCACCTCACCGTCCGCTACCTAGCACCCAGCCAGCCCTGTTGATGCCAAGCAAAAATGAGAATTGAGGATTGAAATGAAGATATTCTATCGGTTTTTTTTTTCTTTCATCGTTTGTCGAGCCGCTTTTTGTGTGCATGTTACAATTTCTTTCTCTCACTTTTCTCTTTTGTTGAAGTAAAACCAGACAGAGGGACGGAGGGGAGGAAATGGGAGAGAAATAATATAAATAAATAATAATGTCTTTTGAACCATCCAAAATACCCAGCGGCGCCATATAATAAATATATATATACCCTTCTTTCTTTTCTTTTCCCCACAACCCCCCCCCCCCTTCTCTCTCTCTGAATTACCATTCCTGTGCATGCATTATAGTTCTTTCGGCGTATTTCCTACTCAGTAGACTTCCCTGCTCTTCCTTCCCCACCCGGACCCGCCCCCTTTATTTAGTTCGCTGGGGAAAGGAGAAAGGGAGAGACGGGAAGTCAAGACGAATTGAATAATCACCAAGAAATACAGCGCAAGGACAGGGGGCCCGATATGGCGTGTTCGGCTTAGATTATAGACTATGGGAGGAGAACGAAAGGAGAGGGAAAAACTTTTCATGCATACAGACGGTCTTTGCGGATTGGGGTGGGTAGTGGTCTCGAAGGAACGGGGAATGGAGAAGGATGGTTAGTAGTAGGGCGCTTGGGGCTTTCTTTCTTTCTTTCTCCTGCTATTCTCGTTCTTTTTTCGCCTGCTTTCTTTTACGATCTGCTTTTTTTTTTTTTTTTTTTTTTTTTTCTCTTCCTCTTTTTGTTTTGCTTTGGTTATGTGGGGGGTTGTGAGTGGGTGAATTTTGTTTTCTTCTCACCCCCCCCTCTTTTTTTTTTTTTTTTTTTTTTTTTTTTTCATTGGGGAAAAACGGAAGGATAGAGGTGCCGTTTGTTTTGTTGGGGGGTGTTTACTTTTTTCCTTTGAGTGCTTCCTTTTGTTTCCTTGTATTTCCCTCTTTGATATGCATATTTTATGTTGCGCTTGAGGGGAATTGGGGAAAAAAACGTACGGACATGGCTCCGCCAGAAGAAAAGTCTCCATATAGCTAGGGGGAACAGGTTCTGTTATGTGACTAAACGGACACGGAAGGATCTTCCTTCGTGCGTTTCATATATTCATCAAAAACTTCGTGTGATCTCATCTCATCTAAACTTGGAATAACCCTTTTGCCATATGCAGTGATGGAATCTGGCCAGGCAGGTGGTAGCGATGTATTGAGCTGGTAAAACAGAGAACTGACACCTCCACATTCCCAAGTCCGCGCCCTTCACGGACGCTTACTAGTCCAGCTCCCTAATGTACCATTTGCGCTTCGGCGAAGTCCTGAAGTTTACGGTGTTAGGCATCCCGTGGTTTTAAATTTTGGGTTGAATGGAATAGCAGTGAGAATTCCCGGGGGGGGGGGAGATAAAACAGGAACGCAACACAAAGAATATGACTTACCGGAAACTGATCTATAATGGCAGCTGCCACCCTTTCCACCTCCTCAGCCAAATTTTGGACGCCAGCATCCCAGACTCTTAAACTACGTCCCGCCGACTCTGCCCCGGGGCCAACACCGGGGATTCCTGACTCGAAATAAATCACACCTTTAATCTGATCGATACTACCTTTTAATCTGCCTTGCTCAAGCATGCGTGCAGCATATGCCTCTGCCCTCTCTCCAGCGCTCAAATCCCCGCTAGCCTCGAGCCCGAGAATGTTTCCTAATTCCTCCACGTGTATATTTTCATACAGTCGACTGGCAGCGAGGAGGTTGTGTTCGATGACAGCTCGACCAAGCACGGTGGATCCATCTGCCGTTATAGCGAGTTGGTGAGGGACTAGCTTCTCCGCGAATGCCTTCACCTCCCCAGCTGTGAGCAGCCTGTCCATAAATATCTTCTCCAATATATTGTATATTCCGAGAGAAGATGATCGGTCGTCCTTGTATAAACGGGATAAAGTGCGGGAACGTTGGGGACCAGCTGGTCCGAGAACGGCGCATATAATGGCGGCAGAAAGAGCTTGGAGACGGTCTTCTTCCTCAATTTCCCCGGATAAACTCACATTGAGATATTGCTGGCTTGCATCGAGGAATCGGCGGTTAAAATCTGAAATGCGCGCCTGGGAGAGCTGGAAGTGAAGTGTCAGCTCCGGGTCTTCGATTTTGGTAGGCATGTTCTTGACTCTGTTTAAGAAGCTCTCTGCATTTGTCGTATCGTCGTCTTCTAGATATAGTCGTACGATACGAATCCATATGCGCACCTTCGCATCGTCGGACATGAGGTGCTGGGAACTGTCGAAACGGATTGCCTGTAAGACTCTGGCTGCTTGTGTAAAATCCTCTTCTGCCTCATACGCGTCTGCAAGAATTTCCCTCAGAACTGCATCCTGTGCTTCAGCAGAGGTTGAGTGGGATTGTATCTCGGATAGCGCATTTTGCCCAACCGCGATTATGACCTTGGCTGGTAGCTTTCGGAGAGAGTTGATGAAGTTATCAAGGAGGGGTCGGGCAGCAACGATTCCGACGGTGTCGCCGAGGATGGAGTTTAGGAAAGCGACGAGGTTGGGTTCAATGTTCGGAGAAGAGGGGGATGATATTATTTTGGAGAGGAGTTCATTGTAAAGCTGTGGCTTATGCTGTTGATTTGTCGTTGCTTCAATATTAGCTAGGGCAGAGGTGACATGAGGCTCCGCCATTGCGGTGGGGTGGGGGATTGGTTCGTGAGCCGACGCTGGAAATGACGATCCTTTTATATTGGTTACCAAAAGACGTAGAGGTATTGCGTGAAGAAGAAGGGAAAGTTAAGTCATGGAAGAATTGTTATATAGATTACTAGCTCTTGCTGCGTTGACATCTTTATTCTTGGAGGATAACGTTGTTATGTTGTATTGTTATCTAACTACGCGAGTTACAAACTAAATGGATAGGTTGGGGTGGCACGTGACTAGGGTAGGTGTAGTAATCACCAACACCCCCCCTTATTATTATTATTCTTCAATTATAGATGTATGCAGTCAGAGACTATGACATCTACCTGAGAACTTTAGTTCTCAGGGTTTTTTCTATGTCTGTAAAGTTAACTATTATACATTCATCAATTTCAGATATGCAAAATCAGAAAATTCTAGCTCAGAATACAAAAACTATTTATAAATTACAGTGTTTTAACATCTTTTGATACTTTGAAATCATTTGACAATATCATGACAAAAGAAAAGAGAAAAAGAACACAGTCTCAAAGATAGACACATTAAACAGATAGATAGAAAGAAATTGAAAGAAAAAGATAAAGAAAAAGATAAAGTAAAGAGAGACTATAATAAAATAAATTATTAAAAGAGAGTGTATAGCTGTTTTAACAGACTATATCTGATTGATTTTCTTCTCTTTATATTCAGATAATTCTGAATTTAGTCATTTTCTTATAGCTGCTTGAGTTTCTGATAGAAAGTCTATTAAGTATTTAATTTCTGTCTCAGTTGAGTATAAGAATCTTATATTTAATTAATTTAGATTATACTTCTCTTTCAATCTGACTCTGAGACTATTATATAATACACAGTGTATTACAATATACTCAGAATTCTCATTTATATTACAGAATGAGCATTCTATTGAGTTAAATCTATCATCAAATCTTTGTATATAAGATTTGAAATAGCCATGTTCTAGTTTCAGCTGTATTATAGATAAGAATATTTTCTTTTTACATTTAATTAAACAAGATTTTCACTTGAGTTTTGTTTCAAATCTTGAATAATGTATACTCTTCTTTTATTTCTATCAGCTTTTATTTCACTTATTTAAACAAGATTCTTTTATTTTTCTTCTTATAAAAGATTAGAACATAATTTTTTGAATAGATCTGCTTAATTCTGCACTCTTTTTTACAGCTGAATCAGTCAATTCATTGTCATAAATATTCATATAAGCAGAAACTCAGTGTAGATGAATTATCAGCTTTGATATTCTTCTCTTTTGAATTTTCAAAACAGAGTTTAAGATCAGTTTAAGATTTATTTAATTATTATGAATCTGATTATTTCTAAGTCTTTTTAAAGCAGCTTGACTATCAGAGAATATTCATGTCTCTTTTAAATAATTTCCTCTTTTATGAGATTTTATTTCAATGAGTTTGAAAGCTTTCACTATTATAAATAGTTCAGTATCAAAGACTTCATATTCAGAGTCTAGATTTCAGAAATCTGAGATAAAATTAATATTATCTTCAGTATAAGCAATGTTTGCATCTAATCTATTCAAGTTCTCATTTTTTAAATCATCTGAATAAATCAGAATAGAGTCTTTTATATTGATTGTAGAAATTCTCTTTAAATACTGTTCATATTCTTTCTCTTTTAATAGTTCACTTATTTATAAGTCTATAAGAGATTCAAGCTTTTCTCTTCAGAGAGATAGCTTCTCATAATCAACTTTTTCAATATTTAAAGAGAAAAATTAATTTTTAATCAGAGAGTATAGTCTGTACAGTTAAGAAGACATTTTCTTTGAAGAATTATTTTCATTTCAATTAAGAAATCTATTTCAATTCAGTTCATTTTCAGAGTTAATTGATGAAAATGAAGAAGAGACTCTTTCTCTGATTATATGATTTAAGCTCATCTTTACAACTCTCAGAGCATAGTTTATACAGGTCTTTTCAAATCTAATAGCAGAAGAAGAAATTGAAGCTTCAATTTTCATTGCTTTAATAGAAGATGATTTGAATACTCTCAGAATTCTTCTCAAGACTCTGTTTTACAGACTTTGAAAGAGTTCAGTGAAATTCTCTTGATTATTTCATCAAACTTGAACTTCATAATCAGCTACTGATGTAATACAGGCTATATATAACTGTCTTATAGTCTGAAAGAATAGACCTCTCTCTGTATTTGATAGTCTGATTATGTTATTTAATAGTCTTTCTGTCTTGACAGTTCTTTATTGAATATGATATTTAAAATTCAACTTAGAGTTTAATTATACTTCTAATTATTTAATATTTACACTGAGTTTAATCTCTCTATTTAAAAGAGTTAGAGATAGTTCTTTCTCATTGAATCTAGAAAAGAAATGAATTAACTCAGTTTTATTCATATTAAATTGAATTTAATTAATATCTGCTCTAACAAAGATTTTCTTTACAGCTTCTTCAATTACTTTTAAATTCTCTTTAATAGTTTTTAAGCTGTAAACTAGATCAATATCATTCACATAACTTAAAGATTACACTATTCTCATATTTCTATTTTTGAATAGATATACAGTGTATATTATAAATAAAATAAGTGAGATTGAAGATCTCTGTGATACTTCTATTTATATCTCAGTCTTATCTTATTTCATTTCATCAAAGAAGAGTTATATAATTCTTTTAGATATAAAACAGTTAACTCATTTTATTAGAGAAAGTGACAGTTTTAATATCTTTAATATCTGAATTAACTTTGACTTTGAAACATGATTAAATGCTTCTTTTATATCAATAAAAACTGCAGTTGAGATCAGACTCTCATGCTTTGCTATTTGAATATCATGAATAACTGAGAGAACAGTGTCAATTGTAGAACACTGTTTTCTATCTTTCATTTATTCACTGAATAAAAAAGAATCATCTATAGAGCTTATAAAAGATAGTTAAGTAGCTATTATCTTTTCTAAAACCTTTTCTAGACAGTTCAAAAGAGATATTACTCTATATGACTTAGAAATTGAAGTTTTTCTATTAGGTTTTGTAAGAATCACTTCAGTGACTTCTCTTCAGCATTCAGAATGATATTCATTTTTCAAGAGATTGAAAAAGAGCTCAAAATATTCATTCTTTAAGTAGGAATATGTATTTTGAATAATTAAGTGATTAATTGAATCAGGACCTGCAGCAGTTTTAACAGAACTTGAGAAGATAGCTGACTCTAATTCATCTTATATAAGATCAGATCATTTCCAGTCATTTTTATCAATATAGTTAAGAAGTGATATATTCTCTTTCTCTGAATCTGAATCTGAATCTGATGAGTTCTGAAAGAGAATTCTTATGAAAGCTTGACATTTTTTCTCAAAAGAGTTTACTGTATATAATTTATTCTGAAACTCATATTTTAAGGCTGGAAGTTTTACTACATTTCTTGTTTTAGTATAGTTAAAAGCTTTAAAAACTTCCTTCTCTTATACTTCTTTAAGAAATTTATTTCAGCAGTCTGTTTTAGCTCTTTTAATATCTGAAAAATATTTATTTCTGACAGCTTTGAACTCTTTATCAGATATTACATCATTCTTTCAATCTCTTCTAGTAGTAGCTAATTCTTTTCTTTTAGATGAGATATTCTCATTTCATCAAGGTTTTGAATACTCAGAAGATTTTCTTTTTAAAATATTATCTCTAATACTTGTTAGAATAATAGATGTAATAAGCTTCACTCTATTCTTAAGCATTTCATTTGAGATATCTTGTTCAGAATTTCAATATAGCTTATTCTATCTTTCAGATTTTAACAGTTTTATACTTTCTTTAACTGCTTTTCAATCAGCTTTTTCAAAGTTATACTGATTAGAGAGAAGAGGATTTTCACTCATTTGTTTTTCACTCAGTTTAATATCAAATTGAATAATCTCATGACCTGATTCTGATGTCTCATTTGAATTAATAAATCAGTTTACAAGTCTTCTTTTCATTAGATTTTATGATATGAATGTTAAATCTATAATAGATTTCTGTTTCATGTCTTTTCTAAAGAATGTTTATTGATCAGACTTATTAATCAAATCTATTGAATACTCAAAGATTTATTCAACTAGATTATCAGCTCTCACTGCTCTCTTGCATTCTGAATTTCATCAGAGATGATGTGTATTGAAATCTCCTGCAATTATAGAGTTTCTTGATAAAGTTATGTTCAGAAATTCTCTATCAATTGTTCAGATATTGTTATTTTTCTTCAATGACTTTTCATTATAGATATTTATAAGCTGTATAGTATTAAACTCATTTTCTTTATCTATAATATCACTCATCAGAATATCAGGGTCAGACATGATATTAAATCTTAGATTAAATTAATATCTTGATCTCTTTCTTTCATAGATCACTACTCTTGACTTTATCTCAGACTTTTGAGATAAAAAGCAGTAGTAGCTTGAATGAGAAATGATATATTTTTACTCAGCATTAAAATTCAGCTTCTGAAGCAGTATAAAATCAACTTTTTACTCAAATACAATTTGAAGATAAGAATAAATACAATTTGAGTTTCTATTCACATTATTTTAAATAAATGTGATTTTTGAAGAGTTTTTAAACTTTTTTTATTGTTTTTGTTGTATATTCATACTAAAAGAGAGTAGAGTAGAATCTAATCACTATTATCAGATAGTAGATTATAACTGTTCTGAAAAGTAGAAATCTCAACTGCTTACATTATATCTAGTTTATTATCAGAGTCATTTCTCAATTCTCTAATCTTAACAGGAGTTTGAGGATTCAAATTCTGTTTACATTTAGCTGGAGAATTGGAGTTTGAAGACTTAGATAGTTGAGAGTTTCTTCTTTTTGAGCTTGCAGTTGTAAGTCTACTGGCTTGACTCTACGGGCGCTAGCCACCCGCAGGATGCACCTTAAGCTAATTACATTTAACCCCCTATAATTAACCGACCACCGTGTCCGTCCTCTCGGGCCAGCCACTAATTTCCAGGGGCGTTA